CACTCCCCATCTGCCCCCAGGCGCCCCCTGGGATGCCTCCAGAGGTTTCTACCCAAAGCGTCAAGTCAGCCCTCCCCAGGCAGCACCAAATCAGGGCCTTTCCTCCAAGGCCATCGCACCTGTCTCAATTTCACTTTCTCAATGTTCTGAGAAGCTGCCAAGCCCTGGTGAGCTGCAGTGCATGGACATCCTACTCCAGCCCACATAGACAGGACGAGAAACCCCACATCAAAATTATATCCTGACTACCTACTGGGCTGGAGCTATGTCTTCGGCTCTCGGTCTTTCTCCCTCCCTTCCATCCCTGCCTTCCTTCTGGAACTCTTGGCTCCTAGTCTAAGAGCCAATCTGGAAAATGATCGGACTGACAAAGCACCTCCTACATGACTAGCTCCATTTGCATATCCAGATCCCCGATACCTGGCTACTCTGACCGACACGCCGATGTGTGACCTGAGTGTCTTACTGTGGAGGGTCACCTACAGCCCTGCTGGGAGCAGAGGATGGAATGGATGACGTCCAGGGCCCTCCCAGCCCAGCCAGGGACCTTTACCTCCAGAATTCCTCTTCCAGGCTCCTGGATCCTTCTGCAGTCGTGGGTCCCCTGATCCTGAGGGGCTGGGGTGCGTGTCCTGGGCCGCTGGAATGTCCTTCAGACAGTTCAGCAGACCCTGGAGGGGACAGTCCCCGGATGCTGCCTCTGTTTTCACTACAGGAAAAAGCAACACATTTTCACCCTGAGCCCAGTGTCCTCAGTCTTCGTGACAAACAAGCGGACAATCCAGGTAAGCAGTTAAAAGGGTTCAGGGTCAGAAATCTGGAGCTGTGGGCCGTCTCTAACTCTTAAAATGATATCCCAACTACCTACTGGGTAGGTAGTTGGCACAGGCCACTGTCTTCTTGGTGGTAAGTTTAAAAATGCCTGTCTGCACACCTCCCAGAACTGGATGGAGAAAGGAGGGAAGGTGTGGAAATGCATCACAAAGCCACACATGCTGTGATTCCGAGTATAAACGAAGCAGTGGGCTGACGGGTCCCTACTTGTAGACGGTTCTCTGGGCCCTGCACAGGACTTACATTAGAGAAGGAGCAAGCCTTTTACAAACATATACATAAGCACATTGCTGTACCTAAGCCTCACATAGCCCCTAGGCGGAAGCTTTTACAGAGGGGGAAACCGAGGCTCAAAAGCTTCCAGAGCCTTTCCGCCTGCACAGCTAACAGGCGTCGGACTACGGGACACGTGTTTCTGCCCCTACCATGCTGCCCTGATCCCTCAAGTCCACGTTAAGCATCCCACTTCATGTCAACGTGAGGTGACACTCACTCAGCACCTCCTGCCCAGAGGTCCCACATTAGGACAAATAAAGGACACAGGAGGGTCCAGGGGAAAGTCTATTTTTGAGTTTTCTTCTACTAGCTGTCCAAATGCTGTCTAAGAAAGCCACCTGACTCCAGAAATATGGTCCTGATGATACTGGGGAAGCCAAGTTGGGAAGGATCCTTCGGGAAGACACTTGATTTATAGGGGAATAGCTATAGAAAGGCAGCATGAGTTTCGGGGCTTCAGAAACCTTGGCCGGAGGAGACAGGTCCCCAGAAACTCACCTCCCCAGGGCGGGCTCCCAGGCCCCAGCTCCACCCTGGTTAGCCGTGACGCGCCCAGGCTGGGGACAGGAGGTGGTAAGCTCGGGGACGCCTCAGGGTGCTGGGGCCCAGGCACCAGGATTTCCTTCAGGCAGTTGATGAGGCCTTGCAAGGGGCTGTTCCCAGGAGAGGTTCCTGCGGGGCCTGCATGATCGGCCAAGGTCAGCGCAGCCCTGCCGGTGGCAGCTGTGGCACTTTCCGGGCGTCTGAGATTTCCCACCCATGAAAATGGACGGTGCCTGCCCTGTCAGGTTGTCAGGAGGCCCAGATGGGAGAGCCACAGGACACGGCTCCATTTCCCTGCCCTGCTCAGCTCCAGGACAGGCCCCACTCTCAGGAAAGCCGGCCGCTCACCTGCCCCCGAGGCCCCTCTCTCCTGTGTTCTGTGGCTCCTCTTCCTGCGGGGGCTGCAGGTGGGAGGGCTGCGTTCCCGGCCTGGGGCTCCGAGGCCTTCCTCGTCTGCAGGCCTCGGTGTGCTAGCAGTTCCTACAGCAGGAGACAGGATGGCTTTTCCAGCCCTGGCTCCTGACGCTGGGGAATTACCCCACACCTGGTACCCATAGAGGACGGACCTCTCTGGCCCCAAATCCCTGGGGGGCAGAGTCAAGTCTTGGGGACTTAGACTTGTGGCAGAGCCAGCTCCCGCAAGGCTGGTTCCAGGAGTCTCGCTTGGGTACGGCGGGGGGGGGGGGGGTCCTTTCCTGTTTCCTCCTGGTGTAACTGTAAATACCTAGGCTGTTTACTCCAAGTTCCCGGGACCCTCCCCCAACTCCGGCCTCTGACTTTGGCTCTGCAAGTGATGCCCACAGCCTCAATATGCAGGCCCCCATCTTCCACTCATGCTTCTCAAATGTGGGCACATGGAACCCCAGAGCAAAGGTGCCAGGTGACACCTGAAACCAAGCCAATTTTATTCCATATTAACTTAAAATATTTTTAACAAAAACAGATATTCAGACAAATGCAAAATAGTAAGAATTTTAAAAAATAAAGTGAGCCCCCAGAGACATTCTCATGGCTACCCCTACCCTCCTCCACTCTGAGGGTTGCCTGGATGAGTAGGTCCGAGAATGAGATCAGATGCGTACAGGTGTGTTACCGCTGATGGGCCTGCACTGTAGGAACCGCTCCCCGCTTACTGTGCATGAGCAGGGCTGGGGGAGGGGCCACCCAGGGACCGAGCATCACGCCTCTTTGGTCTACACACACAGACTACGCTGCTCCCCAGGGAGCTTGTCCCCATTTAGCAATGGGGGACACCGAGTCCTAGAGAAAATGAAGAGGGCCCGGGGGCTGGGCCCCCTGACTCCAGGGTGGGAGCCTTACCCCCGTTGGGTCACACTCACTGAGGGGGAGGGGGCTTCCTTGCCCCCGAGCTCCGGGGGAACCACTGCATGATGACCTGCCACTGGACATGGTGGCCAGGCCGGGCCGGCTGACGGGCGTGTCCGGAAGGCAGCTGAGCAGGCCTCGGAGAGGGCAAGGTTCCACTGCCACCGCTGACGTCGGGGAGGAGGGACAGGACGCCGGAAGTTGGAATTTAAGCCCAGAAGCAGGTAAAACGCCCCTAATGTTATCCAATCCTGGCCCTTCCTTGTCGTGTTCCACTAAAAATGACCAGAATGTCAGTAAGCTCTGTGTTGTCACCCCTAGGCTCTGAGATACCAATTCACAGCCACGGTCTTCTAAGACCCCTCCCACCCCCACCTTCTGGTTTATTTACCACCAACTGAGCAAACTCAAAGGAATCCTACAGGCCAGGGCTGGTGGGGACAGAACCCGTCCCCCTAAGGAGGTGAGGCCTGAGCTGAGAAGGGCGAGTGAACAGGCATGGGGGGAAGGAGTGGTGAGGCGGAAGAGCAAAGGCTGGGAGGGGACCTTTATCCAGAATGGCCACCCAGACAAGGCACAGCTTCCTCTTCCTCATCTACAGAACAGGGACTGGCCCCACCTGCCATGCAGGGTACAACGTGACAGGGGCCACAAGGGCGTGGATGAAGCCACTGCCTCACCAATTATCTGTGTGCCTTCAGAGGGCAGGCAAGCCACTGGGCGTTTGTGAAACAGGGTGACTCCACCTAAGGTCTGGCAGCAGCTTGAACTTCACCCTGTGGACGGCAGAGAGGCCACCCCGCTGTCCGACTTACCCTCGGGGCTCACCCACTCTCCGTCCAGGCTGGCTCCCCGGCTCTCGGGACGGACTTCCCCAAACAGGAACCCTGGAATCTCCTTTACCAGCTGTACAAGGGCGGTGAGGTGCAGGCTGTGCTGGGGTGCTCCTCCTAGCAGAGAGGCCACAGTGAACCCCAACGCCCTACATCTGCTCGGCACTCACACTTCTGTGTGTTTCTTCACACCAGCATCTCATGTGATCCTCCTATCACACGAGAAGCAGCAAAGGCGAGTCTGATGTCCAGGAGACAGAGGACCTGGGCTCAGGCCGCATGACTTGCCCATGGGGACAACCAGGACTGGGGGCTGGGAGCCTGGATAACTGGGCTCTTCTATACTTTGTCACCTGTTAGCTGTTACTTCTCTGAGGGGAACGCCAAGGAGGACTGCCTCGCCATCCCCTCCCACCATCCGGGCCTTTCTGCCTTTCCTGGCAATCCCTAACCTCCCGGCCTCGCCCAGGCTGGGCCCATGGGCCACATCCACCATCTGAGGTCTCCAGGTGCTGGCCCTGTGGCAGCAACTTCTGGAGCTGCAGGCTGGCTCTGCAGGGGTGGTGGCAGGAAGGGGGGACTGAAGAGGTGATGTTCCCCAAGGGCAATCCCAGGTTTCTTCTGAGCACATCACACAATGGGCAAGTGGACCAGGGTCCCAGCCCAGAGGGACGAAGGGTGAAAGGTCAGGAAGGGTTGGGGTTGGGAGTGTGGTGTGGTGGGGAGGGCTAAGATCACCGTCCTCTGAGGAGTAGAGCTGGGGGCTGAGGACCACACACCGAAAGGGACAAGAGTGAGTCCACCTGGGCCCAGGCTGCCCAAAGGGGCCTGGCCTTTGTCTTCCAAGCTTACTCACCGGGGGCACCTTCCCTAGGAAGCTCCCGTCCCTCACCAGCTTGGCTCCTGCTCATGGCTCCACCAGGCTCCGTGGGAGACAGGAAGGCAGAGAGGGGGAGCAGCTCGGCTGTTCCTGGGAAAGAAAAGGATAGTCGCCCTGGAATGAAAGCTCGCCTCTGTCCCCCTAAGTGCAATCATGCAGGCGGCCCCAGGACGCGCACATCCATGTTTATGCATGCATTCATGTGACCACTGAACCCCAACAGCCAGAGCGTCAGAACCCTGGAGACCACCTTGCTCAGTGTTTCGCCAGCTTTTTAGCACCCCTCCCTCCAAAGTGTATCCAGAACCCTAGCGCAGTACATAGCAACAACAGCAGCACACAAGGTCAGCAAGGCGCCCAGCTAAGCCGAGGCTCTTGGAATCCCACCTCAAACGGTGCTCCTTTTGTACATGCGGACTCAGGCCTGGTGGGTGCCAGGGTGACTCCGGACATGTGTGGTGCTGGACCCAGCCTCCCTTTCGCTTTGCAGCCTGGGTACTTGCCACACCACCCCGGAAAGGCCCCAGGGCTGCCAGCGCCTTACCCAGGGAGACGAGCGCCTCGTAGTTCTCCTGCATCACGTCCCTGTACAGCTCCCTCTGCCCCTCCCCCAGGAGCTGCCACTCCTCCTCAGAGAACTGCACGGCCAGGTCACGGAAGGCAATGGACACCTGTGGGCACAATCTCGGGAGAGTTGGCTGGTTCCATCCCAGCGAGGCCAGGTGTCACCAAGGGAGCGTGAAGCAGCAAGCGTGGGGTGAGCGCCCGACACACGGGAGCAGGCGAAGGAACAACAGGAATCTGCTCAAGAGACAGTGATGGGAGCCGACCGTGTCCCCAGAAAGATACGCTGAGGCCCTCACCCCAGTGCCTGTGGCCTTATTTGGAAATAGGGTCATTACAGATGTAATCACTTAAAATGAGGTCATATTGCAGTAGAGTGGGTCCGTAACCCAGTATGACTTGTGTCCTTGTAAGAGAGGCCCATGGACACACAGGGTAGAGAAGGCCATGTGACAACAGAGGCAGGGATTGGAGTGATGCAGCCACAAGCCTGAGGCCACCAGAAGCTGGGGTAACTGAAACTGCAAGAGGCAGAGCCTCGGGTAAGGCGGGACTACTGTATATTAAGGAACCGGAGTATTCTGATTTATCTATCTGTCCTTTGTGAATTTGGTTAGTTAACTTCTTGAGAAGTAACCTAAGGGTGTACTACACCTGCAAAACAAGAGCTCCACCCAAAATCCACCCCCAGGAGGCCAGTAAAAAGAAGAAAGTCGGGATGGCCTTGGAGGCTCATTTCTTCTCCACCTTTTGGGAGCTCCACACAGGTGGCTCGGCAGCTCCAAGTTAGAGCCAGAGAAGAACATGCTGATAGCATGAACATTCTGAACTATGGAGGGTCCACCTGGCCACTTCCTGGACCTGGGATATTAGCTGCTCCCTCCCGGGCCCCTCTATGGAACACAGGCCATGCTGTGAATGGCGGCCAGCCTGAACACCTCCCGATCTGCTCAGGAAAGCTGGGGATCGTGGGCACGGGCAGCTCTCTCCAAGGACAGTTCCCCTGGCACACCCGTTTATATGTGTACCCAGTGCACCAGCCACCCAGCTACTCTCAGCTCCATCTGCTTCTCCCCGCTCCCTCCTCTAATTTTAACACCCACAGGTTGAAGGCACTCTGCCGGATGCTGAGTGAGATGTGTCACACAGGTTCTGCTCTTGAGGGGCCTACAAGATCAGCAGACATGTGATCCTTACACATTTTGGAGCACATCAGATCTTCCATTTGATTAACAGAACCGCCCTATGCTGGTCAGACACTGTTATCCTGTGTGAGGTGTAAAGGGTCCGAAGTGAGGGGGGTGAAGGAGAGTGCCAAGCTGGCAGTGTCTAGACTGCTTCGTGCCAAGTCTAGGGCGCAGGCCTTTGGATTGCGATTGTGGTGCCCCTTCTGCTGTGCTTGACTGTGACTACAACCAATAAGGTCAGTAAATCTTAAGAAACCAAGTATCTAACATCCAATTTTTAAAAATTATGGTTAACAAGTAAAGTCTATAGNTTAGGAGGAGAGAGCTTCCACACCCAAGTGGTGGACTCCTGGTAGGGTGCAGGGACACAGAAGGGTCCCAGTCCTGTCCTGTGGGCCCCAACTGGCCCGCACAGAGTCCTGGGTGAGCTCTAGGCCTTTCCGCTGTTAATAGATGAGGCCAGGATACGGAGGTGAGCCCCGGGGGCTGGGGCCTGTAAACGATGTAGAGCAGCAGCACTCTGATTGTTCAGGAGGGGCAAAAAAAGGTTGAGGGGACACTGGAGAGTCCTGCATACTTCCAAAGAGGTGACAGCGCACCATAGATGCCTCTACGTGGAGGGACCTGGGGAGACGCAGACCACCAAACACACTCTTTAAAGTGGTCCTGCATGAACCTCATGATGGTTTTTCTTAAGTCAGAGGTAAGTCTGACGCCACAGGCACTTACTTCTTTGTGGCTGGGATGAGGAAGAATTTGAAGCTAAAGGGGACCCCTTTTATTAAGAGATCTTAGATGTTGTCCTGCCCCTTCTGAGCCAAATTGCTAAAACTGACCCCCCTACCCTCCAAAAAAACCATGTCCCATGTCTCTCCTGCCTGGGCACCCCAGCTCAGCCGCCAGCACTGGGCAGGCCAGACTCAGGTGAGTGGGACATGACAGTAGCCTGGGGCATCTCCTATCCTTTCCCAGGATCAACCCCAGCCTCAGTCCAGCCAGCTCACCTTTTCCACACCTGTGTCCCTGGCTGCCCTCAGGGCTCTGGAAATCAAGGTCCCCATCAGTACTGCTGGACGAAGAGAAGCTGGCGGGGGTGCCATGGAGTCCTGGAGGGAGGGCAGGGCTGTCTCTCACAAAGCCCTGCAAGCCCAGAGCCAGAAGAGGCCCCACGGTCACCTCTGCAGGAAACAGCACAGCAGAATCAGGGAAAAGCCACAGGAGAAGCGGTCCCCTGGACCCTGAGCTATGGGCAGGTGCCCAGGAGACCTGCCCCAAAGGATCTCCCACTGGGGTCTCCCATTTCAGCGAGGGCACTCACAGTGCTGATTAAAATACCACAGCACAGTAACCCACAGGAACTCAGCCATTGTTCTCATGGGTCTAGAGAGTAAGTAAGAGCTCTTAGAGAAGGCAGTGGGCGGGGAGAGTTTAACTGGCCTCCACCCAATTCGGGAGCTGCTTAGGAGCAGGCATAAAACAGGAGGCTGGTGGAGGGGGGAGAAGAACGTGAGCTTTAAGAGGTCCAGGATGAGGAGAGGGGGACATAATGGTGTCTCAGCTTTGCACCCCCATGCTGTGAGCAGGGACAAACACCACCCCCAGCCCATGGCCCAGCCTACCTTGGCTGTGTGATCCGCGGGGCCGCAGCTCGGGCCTCTGAGACCCGGGGTCTTCTGGCTGGGGGCTCCGGAACCAAGAGGTGGCCAGCGGCTGGGGAGGTAACGACCCACTCAGGGGAATGCCCTTCAGACAGGCCTCCAGGGCTTCCA